CTAAAACCCTACTTCAAAATTTTAAGCTGAATATTTATTTTCACATAGGAATGTCAAAAGAATTTTTTTATAGTGAATGAAGTCAAAATAGATACTGCTGATACAACTAGAACAAAATAGAAATTCACCATGAGCAAACATTTTTTTTTTTTAATTTACCAGAGGGCACATGCACTTGCCCAAAAAAGAGAAAGAAGAGTAGAGGGAGAAAATATCCCAATGGGGTGTGGCCTAGCCACAATCCCTTCTCCTCCATTTCTCCTTCTCGTTTGGATTTGGGGCATTTACTCACACATATGGGGTGTGTTTTTGAAGCTTCCAGGTCAGGGACTCAAACTGTGCAGTCAGTCATGTGGGATTCGATTCCCTGGACCACTAGACCCTGGGCCAGCCTAAGGAGTCTTTTTTGTTATTTGAAGAACAATTCTACTTGAAGATGATATGCTACCTTACTGCCACTGGAGTCTACATTTAAATCTCAGCCATTGGTTGATTACACATTCCTTGGGGCTGACCAGAAAGAAATCTGTTTTTCAACTAGTGAATTTTCAGATTGACCTTTGTGGATTGAGGGGTGTCAGCGTGAGTACTTGAAGAGGAATGGGCACCACATGAGTAACAGGGTGTCCTCACCTCCCTGACTTTTTGTCGAATGTTAGTCGACTTGCAGATTTTGCCTCTGTACCAGGGCCAGGGAGAGTAGTCTGGAAGGATAAACGGGGAGATCTCTAATCATCAAAACATGTGGTGTGACTAGAACTTGGCTCCTGGCTCACAGTCAACCTTCTGACCTTTAGCTCAGTCCTAGCCCAGGGCTTACTCTTTGCCACATAAATATTCATCGTACAGACTTCCTTGGCTCTCTTTAAAATAGCAGCCAAGCATGCAGTCATCTGCTCCCATTTGCTCTGCTCTTAAGAAAGGTTAAACATAAATTGGAATGAGTTCCATCAGAGCAGAGACATTGAGAACTTCTGCCCCAAATAGATGCCAGCACAGAGCTAGAATAAACTGGAACCTCCCTAAAAGGGACCTATTAACAGAGCACTGTGTCCTAGGCTCTCGAAATACATACAAGGTTTATATTCTTTTGGTTTGCTTTGAGAAAAATAATACAAGGAGTTGAAGGGAAAACCAACTTGTAGGGA